TTCTATGTAGAGGATCATGTAACCTGTCAATAACAATAGTTTTACATTCTTCTTTTCCTATATGTATGCCTTCTATTTCTTTCTCTTGCCAGATTGCTCTGGCTAATGTTTTGAGTCCTACATTGAACAGGAACAGAGAAAACGGGCATACTTGCCTTGTTCTTCATTGTAGGCAGAAAGCTTTTAGCTTGTCCCCATTTAATATGATACTAGTAGTAGTTTTAAAATAAATGGCATTAATCAGATTGAGATAAGGCCCTTTATCTCTATTTTCTTTGGAGTTTTATCATGAAGAATGTTGAGTTTTGTCAAAGGCTTTTTCTGTATTGAGACAGTGATAGGATTTTGGTTTTTGCTTCTGTTTTTCGTGGTTTTACTTTTATTTTATTTTATTTTATTTTATTTTGAAGAGAATAAAACCAAATGAGAGAACACAAAATGGGGTCAGTCAAAACAAAGGGATGGATATAGTATATGACTTAAAACCAAAATACAAGGTAATCAACAATGGTTACCATAATGTCTCTTATTATCTTCAATAGAATTGCCCATATCATCAGTCATAATAAAATTGAACATAGCAGTACAGAACAAAATCAATAAACAAAACATTGGAGACATTATAGGACTTCAAAAAGGGATAATAGCCAAATCAGAATGAGTATCATAGTGAATCTTGTTGTCTTCAAAGTAGTTACTTATACCCTGAGACTTGATACTATCAAACAAAACAGATTTGAATAAAATCAGTCAAAACAAGACAGTGAAAGCAATATAGGGCTTCAAATTAAGTTAACATTAAATAAAAAATGGTTACCATAGTATATCCTGCTATTTTTGGAATAGCTGTCCATGCCATCAAATCTAATACAAATAGACAAACTGGAAAAGAATATAACCAAACTAAAAAGAGCAATGAAAGCAATATGGGTTTCAAATCATGATACAAGACTAATGATGTCTCCCTTTTTAGGTAATTCCTCCCCTTTCACTTTCACAGGGTGCATTGTACATTTTGTATCCCACTAACTCCTTTAGTTTTTAGATTAGGGAGGCAACCTGCTATTTCCCTAAGTGATTCTGAACCTTTTTACCCCTGAGCATGATCTCAAGTTGTATCCATTTACCCTCAAGAGCCTCAAGGTTTTCTGTCCTTATAGCTAAGTAGTTAGTTCTCCATCATATAAAAGTGTTATGTCTTTCCAACCAATCTGCGGGTGATAGGTGAGTTACCTCAACTTTTTCTGGCTCCCTGTCACATAGAGCATTATTTTCTCATCTTTGACTTTCAGGTTTATTATATTTCTTATATAGAGCATCTTGATGGACCCTATTTCCTGATCCATTCTGCTGTTTTTATTAGTGTACAAGGCCATCTATGTTAGTGATAATAGCCAACCTTCTCTGCCTCATCTCTGCCATGTTGTTTTTCTACTATTGGCTGTCTACTTTTCCCCTTCATTCCACTGTCTGCCCCATTGTGAGCCACCTCTGCAGCTGTCCCTGAAACCATGGTCTCTCTCTCTCTCTCTCTCTCTCTCTCTCTCTAGAATGTCCTTCAGTATTTTTGTAGGGTTGGTTTGGTGGTCATAAACTCCTCCAGTTCCTATTTGTTATGGATGTATCCTGTTTCTCTATTAATTTTGAGAGATAGTTTTGTGGGGTACATCAATCTGGGTTGGAGGTTATTGTCTTACAGGGCTTGCAATACTTCAAGCTCTTGTTGATTTGATGGTTTGTGTTGAAAAGTCTGTCATGATTTATAGTCGATCTGTTTATTTTCTCTGACAGCTTTTAATATTCTGTTCTTGTGTTGAATTTCTGGGGTCTTGATTATTATATGTCTGCGTATAGATCTATTCTGGTTATAGCTGGCTGGAGTTGTATGCCTCATACATCTAAATATCATTTCCTTTTCCTATACTTGGGAAGTTTTCTTTAATTATTTCTGTAAACAGCCTTTGTATTTCATTTGTGTTTACCCCTGCTTCTTCACATACATTTTTTATTCTTAAGTTATAGATCCTCTTGTCATCTTCTAGCCTTTGTATTTTTACTTCCTGTTTCCCTGTTATTTTTAAGAGATCTTTCCTTTCAACCTTGTTTCAAACCTGTTTTCAAGGTTTGATACTCTATCTTTAGTCTCTTTCAAGCAGTTTTGCCAGCTTTCAATGGAGTTTTTAATTTCCTGGTAATCTCTTTGAATGTGTTTCATATATTCTAGATTTTTAAAAATATTCTTCATAGAAGGTTTACCTCCTTTTTCTATGCTCCTCCATTCTTCCATCCGTGTCTTCTTGAGAGGTGCTTAGTATTTCTTTTATTATTTTCTTATATCTTCCTTTACTTGTATTAATATTTGTTTTAAGTTCTTTTACAAATTCACGAAGTTATTTCTTTATGTCAGATGCTGTTGCTTCAGAAACTGCAGGTATGCAACTCCCAATCTCTTCTGTGTTTACCTCTAGTAGGCCAGTACTGCTTGGGTTGGAGGCTGGAGACTTCCTTTTGTTTCTTCCTCTTGTCATGTTCCTGGTTTCTTTCAGACAAGTGGATAGTGGGGCCCCTGGAACTTCTTGTGTTGGTTATAATTACTCTGAAGTGAGCTGGCTAGGAATTGCTGCTTTCCCCAATTTGCTGGTGACTACTGGAATGTAAGCAGGGGTGGTACAGGCTGGCCCCTCCCTTCTGAGCTGGTTAACCACTGGGGGTCTTCACCATGTTAGTGTGTGTCCACAGTCAGGGCCACTTAGGGATAGCTTTAGGGAAACCCTGGCCTTGGCTATTGGATTGCGCACAGGGTGGGACCCATTCCAAGCAATTCTCACCAATCTGCTCTACACTAGGAGTGGTTGAATGAAGCTGGCTGCAGTTCTGGTTCTGGACTTACCCTGCCTGACTCTAAAATGGCACCCAGCCAATCACCCACTTCCACAAAAGGACTGAGTCTCCCACACTCACTGCAGCTGGTGCAGGTCTCTGGTCTGCTGTTCCCCTCTTCAACCGTGTACTCCATCCCCAGCTTCACCGTGACCATGAGTCTCTGGATCCCAGCGGCATTTCACACACAGTGGGACCAGCTCCAGTGAGAGTGCATCTGGCTTCCGTCTTCTGGTCCAAGTTTTTCTTTTCTTTTTTTTTTCACTTTAGTTTCTTCTGGGGTCAAGAAGATCCATCGCCTTCCTTCTGGTCTTCTGTAGAATGCTATATTCTGGCATATGAGCTGTTTTTCTCAGAGAGACTTTTTACTTCACTGCTTATTGATCAGCCATCTTCCCAGCCTCCTTGTTTTTACGTTTATTAACTTGTGTATATTGAGCTTTTCTTGCATCCCTGGGATGATGCCTACTTGGTTATGATGTATGATTTTTTGATGATTTGTTGCATTCTGTTATCTAGAATCTTGCTGAGGATTTTTGCATCTATGTTCATTAAAGAGTTTGGCCTATAGTTCTTTTTTTCAGTTGGGAACTTATCTGATTTTGGAACCATGAAAGTGCTAGCTTCCAGGAATGACTCTGCGAGGACTCCTATTTCATTTCAGAGTGTGAGGAGTATTGGTGGTAGATCTTCTTTCAAGTTCTTGTAGAATTCAGTGGGCAAATCCATCAGGCCTGGGCTTTTCTCCATTGGCAGGCTTTTTATTACTACTTCACTTTCATTGCCTGTTACAGGATTATTCAAGTGACACAGAACTCAGGCAGAAATGGAATCACTAAGTGGGCATCTGGGACAGGTACCCTGAAATTCTCTTGACCCATTGGTACAGGTGTGAATCAGGATAGGCACAGAAGTAGTGAGAGGCCAGAAGTCACAGAGGCCTCAAGAAGTGAAAGGAGGAGGCAGAATTATTACCATAGGGAACCAGATGAACATCCGCTATGTGCTAGTGGGCATAGAACCACAGAGGTCAGGGGTAAGAGGATTCGGTGGGAGATGCCTAGGGTGGGCACACAAGGACCAAGGACCAGATCCCCCTTGACACTAAAGCCTCTTGGGACAGTAGTCTAAGAAGAAAGTACTCTGAAGAAGAAACGAGGGTGTATCAGGCGGGTTTTCATCCTTGTGATGAAATACCTGAGATAAACAAAAGAAAAATCTATTTTGGCTCCCAGTTTCACAGAAGAGTGCTTTGTGACTCGCAGTTGCTTTGGGTCCTCACCACATAGCTGTGATGAGGTGGAATCTCATGATGGCAGGGACAGGTGCAAAGGAAGGCTGCTCATTTGGTGGCTGCTAGGAAGCAAAGATAGAGCTAAACCTTCAAGGCATTTCCTGTGGCCACATCTAGAGTTCCCAAAACCTTCCAATCGTGTCAACTGAAGAATAAAGCCATTGATGGGATCAGAGCACTCCTGATGTAGCCAATTCTCGAAAACTTCACCTCCGAGCACTGTTGCACTGGGGACCAAGTCTTCAACTTGGGAGTCTTTGGGGGACATTTCAGATCCACACAATAACAGGGAAGTGAAAACTCCTGAATTAGCCTGGAAAACACTACATTCCAATTATTGGAATGTGGGCCCAAAATATAAATTCAGGTATTCTTAAACAACCCCTTCCCAAACTGGCTCCTGATTAGACTCTATCTAATGTGCTGGGTACTGCACTGGGTTTCTTCCCCATCTCTAGCCTGCCATGCAGGAGTTACTTTTGGTGTAAAACTGTATGCTGCTTTTGCAGCTTTAGCTGGGGACTTTTCTTGAGTTAGTGCTGCTCACAGTCCACTGGTTCTTCCCGGAGCTGCCTACCCCCTGGCACCATCCTCTCTTATTGGGCATTTGCCTTGTCCACAGTCAGGTCAGCCAGACCCTCTGCAGTCCCATATTGAGTGAGCTTGGAGTGAGCTGGTGGCTGTGGCCAGGGTTTAGAATCCAGGGGGAACATGGCCCTGGCAAGTTTCAAGTGTCAGACTGACTGACTCCTCCACAGCTGCTTCCTGCATGCATGGGCCACTCATTCCCTTCCTGCATGTGATTTTATATATACACACACATACATAGACTCTTTATTCCTGTGTTTATAACATCTGAAGTCTCTGATACCTAAAAATATTTAGGAAGTAGCTACCAATTTTTTACTAGCATTTTTTGAGAGGAAAAAAAAACACAGAAAAGAAAAACAAAAAATGAGAGATATACAAACAAATTACAGAACAACAAAAAAACCGCAAAGAGTAACAATATAGGCTTTCAAAACAAGATGACAGGACTTTAACAATAGCTGCAATATTGCATATTATCTTCAAATGAGTTGCTTAATTACTAGATACAGATATGCAAAATTGATGTAAACGTAAGTGTTCACTGTTCTTTCCCAAGAAGTAATAGAATTAGTAATGTAATCATCTTAGCTATTTGATGTATACATAAACAAATTTATATCTTCTTCCCCTAAGATTCACTTTATTTTAAAAAGCAAAACAGAAAAAAGAATAGAAATGATACAGAATTTCAAAAAAGGATAAAAGTAGGAAATTGACACTAGCTAATGTATCACATATTGTTCTCTCAGAACTAGTTGTTCAGATTAACAAAATCTAGACATGTAAGTGATCAATCAATGACAGCACAAACTGAACTGAGATTAGTAATGTAGTTATCTGTCTAGTACATGTACATAATTTATATGTTTACTAACATACATATAATCTTCTCCTTTCCTTTTTTCCTTCCCCCTATCTCAGTAGTTCTGTCCTTTTGAGCACTTCCTTTCATTATTACAATATCTATTGTATATTTTGGATTTTATTACTCTTTCAGGTTTTATTATTTTTTATGCTAGAGATAATATGTTTATAAATGTGTTTATTTCACTTATGAGTATGATCCCAAGTCCTCCATTTAGGTACAAAAGCCTCAAGATTATCCTTTTTTATAACTAATATTCCATTGTATAAAAATACTACATCTTTTTTATCCATTCTGTGGTTGATGGGCATTTGGGTTGTTTCCAAGATTTAGCTATCACAAATTGTGCTGCCATAAACGTGGGTGTACATATATCACTGGATTCACGTATTTTTATCATTGAGCTGATTTTAGTTTTACCTTTCTAGTTTTACCCAGACTTTGATCTACTTTGAGTTTCAGGCAACATGTGAATGGTAGTTATTTTGTTATGTCTTTGAGAATTTTTCAAGATATTTTGAGATGAAATGAATCACTCTTTCCAAACATCACGTGATTTCTCAGCACAACTTTCCAACAGCTCACAAACTTGAAGCCCTTAGCCTGAGAAGAAAACCCAAACAACACTAAGACGATGTTTCTACCTTGCCGTTCTCAGCTGGACCTACAGCCCAGAGGCAGCTCTTGGGTTTCTACCTTGAGAGGGTGAACTCATTTCCAACACTAAGCAAGCCACTTACTACACACAGTTTTAGACTTCTACTTACCAGATGCTTTACTATTTTAGCTTAGTTTTACTAAAGTTATAAAATATTAATGTATTTCCTTCAACTTAGTAGATCAAGTTACCCATATACAAAGACATGTCAAAATTAAATGAGCTAAGAGATCTGTAATTTTAAATAAGTTAGAATCTCGTTGAAAAGCTCCTAGATTTCTCCCGGTTAGCAGGTTAAAAAAAAAAAAAGATTTTAAGTAGGTAAATATTTACCATGCTAAAAATATTTAGTTACAAATGATCATTAGTACAGGTTATGCCTGGGCAGGATGAAAACCGAGAAGGAGCTGGATGCAGATTAGAGGAATATCAAAGTGATTGGTCCATTAAATGACGGCTGAAACAAAAAGACTTCAGAAGTCTGATCTAGGGTGGCAATGTTTTTGGAAAGTGGCATACAGATACATGAAAACATTTTTTTCTTTCTTTTCATTAAAACATTTTTAACTGATAGATTTTAACTGATAATATTTTTAACATAAAAGTTATGTACATTAGTGGGATGCCAAGAGATGTTCCATACAAATATGTATTGCATAATGTTGTGAAAACATCTATTTCACAGATTTGGTAGTCATACATAGGCCAAGGTGCTAGGGGAGTATAATAAAATTGCTTTGCTGTAGACTGTACTGTACTTAGGAACTTTAAAGTTCCTGAGTAAAAAAGGTATTTAAATTAGATCAGTGCAAAATACATGCTTCTGTTTTTGTGACACATATTCATACCACTTTATTATAAGTCATATTAAAGTTTATTTTAAAATACATGGCCACATCAGAATGCATATTTTACAGAGGTTAAAAGCAGTAGTTTTTTATTACAAATTCTAAAAAAATCCACCTTCATAAGTAAAAAGGAACACCAATCATCATTGGAAACATTAAATTTAAAATCACTATCAAAAAATCTTTACATTCACACAAGTCCAATATATTTGCTGGTTTTTAGAAACACAATTTCTGCATGGTTTAGGCCCTGTGAACGATTTCTATTGAGTACAGTGACAACAAAATAAAGCAGGTAAAGAACTGGCAGCACTAGTGGACTGAGAAATGAGCGGGTATCAGCCAAGCATGGGCCAGAAACCAACCAAGCTGACAGCAGAAAAAGTTCTTTACCAACTGGGTCTTGGCCGCATCCTTGGCACCACAAGGCTGGCTGTGTCTTCAGGAAGGGCAGTGGGCCAGGGTCTGCTGTGCCAGTTCCAAGCAGCAGCCATCTCTTCTATGAGTCACAGATGTTCCTTGGTCCTTGTTCATCTTGCCGTATTCATGAGATATTGGGAGCTGGAAGGGCGGGCCTCAGATGACCTTATTTTCATTTGAAATCTCTTACATCGTATTTTACCCTGTCATTCTAAGACTCTACTATATCAGTCGGTAGCTTAAATGCTTATATACTGCAGGCTGCCTGACCCTGGAACCAGTCTTGGGTCTTGATTTTGATCTCCTTGGTGTGGCTGGATCACAGAAGGGTGTTTAAGGCCCAGAGACTGGTTTCAGCCATGGTGAATAATCCCCAAACAGAATGCTCCCAATAAGTAGTGTTATCAAGTGGGTTGAGGCATACATTTTAATAAGACTAAACTGCATACACATGAACAATGATGAGTACTACAGAAACATCTGAACCAACTAAAACAATAACAGATCAAACCTCTTAGAATCCAAAAAGCTAGTGTGCAAATATAATTACAAATGCAAAAAACTCCTCAGCTAAATAACAAACTCAAACAACTTTATTTTCACATCTATACGACTAAACAACTGACTTTGCTGGCATTATTTACTACATAAACTTCAGTACTTTCCCCCTGATATGTAAGTATTAACATTATAAAGTACAAAGAAGGCACTGTTTTGGCATTAGTGAAAAGAATAATTTCACCTGCCCCACCAAAAACCACACTAAGCACATAACTTCACGACTATTCTAATAATGCATGATGCACATTCTAAATCCAGTCTTTTGCAGGCCTCTGGAGATTATACTTTTGGTGCTAAATATCACTTGATGCCTATAATGAGAAATTATGAATAACAAACATTGCAAAGAAGGCTGAGCCAGTGAGAATCTTGGGACAGCCTCATCATGTATTCTGTAATCTTACGATATACCTAAATTTAAGGGAAGATAAGGCTCAGATATTCCCCCATCATTATTAGCATTGCAGGATAATTTCTTTTCCTTTTTCTCCCTGTTAATTGCTCAAATTAAGAAAATATTTTGTAAAAACAGGCTCTAAGTCAAACTGTTCTATGAAAAAACATTTTTTGAAGAACTACTTGCAAATACTTAGAACAAGTATTTTGCAAATACCTAGAAAATATTTTGCTAACATTTAAAATAAGATCTAGTTTAAAAAATATTTTATTCATACAAATTAAAAGAACACAGTCTCTCATCCTTCAAAAGATAATTAAGAAAGTAATTTTTGTTGTCAACTATGGTTACTAATAGTAAAGCTTTATATATCAACATTGAGATAGTCAAATGATACATTGGTCTTAGTTTTCCTGGCATTCATCTCCAGAGAAAACATGATTATGTAATAATATGCATTTTAGTATATGTCAAAAGTTCTTATAAATTTTTCTCATTAAAAGTTTTTAAATTTGAGTTTTCATAGATATCTTATAACCTTGGGGTTAGCACTGTCTTTATATGGTAATTCACAAATGGTTCTTTTTTAAGAGTACCAAAGTGCTATTACAAGAAAGTCTCACTAAAAATGTGAGAGCACAGTTCCTAGCATAACAAAAGATAGTGCAAGCTACTTCTATTCAGTTACAATTAAAAGGAGGTGTAACATGAATGTTTAAAATTTTTTGCAGAAGACTTTATGCAATTTTGAGTACTACTCAAATCTATATACAGAACATTGGTAATCCTAAGAAAGTAAAAACATTTTTTCAAAGAGTTATAAAGCTGAAGGCAGGACTAGAGAAATGGCAAAAAAAAAAAGCTGGTTTTCACTAATGAATACGAGGGCAGATATATAAGAAAGGAGGCCACAGAAACAAACAAACGGGAACACCCCAAAGTCTCCTATCCTACTCCATTCAGATTACAGAGCACCTGTTATGTATTAGGTAAGTTTATATTAGAAACATGATAAATATTTCTTAAAGAAGCTACCTATAGAAAACATACATATAAAATTGTGTATTTTAAAATAGTTTAAAACCTAAAATATATAATATAAAATATTACTTTTTCTCCATATAAGTTGAGTTTTTGTCCACGTAACAATGTCATGTCCAAAATCCATCAAGACCCAACTTACATTGATACTTGAAACATGTTCACTTACACACACATACTACATATGTAAACGTGTACATACACACAAACATGCACACTTGAGTCTTCACAGGAAAGAAAAAACAATATCACCAACAAAGCATGTCTTCATAAATATGTGTATCTGTAAAGTGTTTGAATATGGAAAAATTTTTAACTTAATTCTGCTCTTAACACACTATAATAGTTTCGGCTGCCTATCACATGCTAAAATCTTACAGTTTTTTGAGAGATTTAAGTATTCATATATGAAATTAATCATATTTCCTGAATGATGGTCCAATTCTAGATGATTATAGAATTTTAAAAGTCCTCAGTATATTGCTAAACATTTGTGATCATGCCTACAGCCCCTACCTAAATATTTTACCTTTTGCTTATTGACTCCTGTTCAGTAACACATTAAATGTGAAAGAGAATTCTGGGCTTCAGATTTTACCGTGTGCATCCTGGAAGCTGTGGAATGTCAGTGATGAGCTGTGTCAGGGATGCTACAGCACTAGCAGCCAGAAGCCCAGGCTTTCCACCGACTTACCCCATATCTCACCCCAGTACACGCCAGGTGATACAAAGTAACTCGGACTGGCTTTTTAAGGTCAGTGAAGTAACTGATCTCATAGAAAATCTGTCAGAAAACAGATGTTTCTGTTACCTTTGGATTACACAAATAAAATTAGCATGCTTGTAATATCCTGGGAATGTCACCTACATGTAAGTCTCTAGCCTCTACCTTTATCTAATAAACTATTTCTACAAAAATTTCATTAAAATACAATGAAGATAAATAATCCACTAAAAAAGTAAAATATAGCAATTAGAGAATCTTACATACCAAAATTTATTTACTCATATACAAAGGTCACTGTATTTAATATGGTTTTAACTTAATTTGGTTAACTTTTTAGCTTGCTGTTTTAAGTAATTATGTTCATAAGCCAAAATATTTCCCTACTCATTCATAGGTTATTGTAGAATACTGAAGCTTGTATTAATTGCCTTAGTGTGCTCATTTAAAAGCAAATCAAATAAAAAGCGCTAAAGATTTATGGATGGGGGAGAAAAACATGCCTGTTTCCAAGAGAACATCAGGGGCAAATTAGATCTGAATCATTTAGATTGGTCAAAGAGCTCTTGAATGCCAGGGTAGACACTTTAACATCAGAATATGGTCACTTTCTCTAACATCCCTCCATCTTTTCCTCTTTTGCACATTATAAAAATAGAAGTCACTTCTGCAGACCCACACGTCTAAGTAATAGAAACAAAGGAGTGAGAATTCTGTGCCTGATTGAGGTTAAAAAAGCTGAACTGTGATTAGGTGTTAAGTGGTAGAAGAAAAGTATGGATCATTCTACCATTGTGAGAGTGTCACTAGTTTAAATAACTTTTGAATAGAGGGATACCTGATGTCTACTTGTCCAAGCATATGCTCAACTCTTTGATTTCAAACACATCCTCATCGTGGCCACTGATACTAGTGTTTGTGTCACTAGTTTTTTTGTTTTGTTTTGGTACCGGGGATCGAACTCTTGACTGTGCACTTGCAAGGCAGGCACTTACGTGCTGAACTAAATCCCTAGTCTGTGTGTCACTCTAGACCACTTAAATCACAGTACATCTCGCAGCCCCTAGGGTGGAGGGGTACATCATTCACAGAAAGGGAAGGCCTTATATGTAAGGACCACAGGCTCACAAAGATAGGAGTTCAAAAGCATGCTGATGGTGACATGGAATGCCACTCTGTTCTATAATACAACAGGAGCAAACACTCTGATTGGCCAAAGTTTTAGCAAACTGTCATACCACCTTGGAAAGCATATTTGTGTGAACTCACCGCTGGCATTTATAACTTACAGAAAAGGCTCATTTCTAATCTCTTCCTCTGATCTCTGTCCAAGATTAGACATCATGATGGGTAACTGTACTTTCAGTCATGTCTAAACTGACACTCATGAAGCCTACAATAATAAAGAAAAGCAATTACTATTTTCCCAACCGCACAGGGCATACACAAACCACTTTTCAGTGACATATCACCAATTATGACAAGACTGGAATAATGTCACATGATAACAGCAAAACACCAACTAACTTGTAACATGCATGTTCCCAGACACACACACACACACACACACACACACACACACCCCACTTTGGGGAAATTCATCATTGAGGAGAAAACTCATATTCACTGTTTGAGGAGATGCTGGTTAGATGAGTAAGTATAAATTAGGGTGAATTATGGATGCAGCAAATCCATGACAACCTAGCACAATGATGACATCTTGTCACGGTCTACTCCATGTAGGACATGCATGTTAAGATTGTGGACCAGGTCTGCACCTACAAGCATTAGCATTCACTAGTCTTTTCATGGAATATGAAAGGTAAACTAAGATTTCTTTGGTGATGGTCATTTGATTGAATAGCCGATTTTGCTTCTGTTGCTGCATCGATGTTGTCTGAATAAGCATCTTCATCTTCTTCTTCATCCCTTGGGTTACCCTCCAGGCTGTGTCTAATGCCATAGGCAAAGTAAATCAGGAACCCTTTAGGGAGAGAAAAAAAAGTCAATATTTTACGTACATCAGGAAGAAGCTGTTGTGATATGGAAGATTTAATACAGAACTTAATAGGCTTTTCTGTGCTATTTTAGAAGAATGGAATGCAAATACAAGATTCCTCCATAAATGTTTTCCCAGTGGAAGGAGCTTCTTCATCTTTAACTCCAAAACTTTACAGAATGCATTTTTCTCTAATAAATTTTTTTCAGACAATGTTTATGTGGGAAAAGTTTATATTTATGGTCTCAAAACTCAAAGCCATACTTTAAACAAAATGATACATAGAGTAAAGACTAAAATTATATCCTAATAAATACAAGTGGTGAATTATCCATCAGAGTCAGCTGTCTTGGAAAGCACATCGGGTGTGTACAAAGAGGAGACAGATACACTTTCTATATGCTGCTATCAACACGAAAGGGCAAAGAGCTGTACACAGAACAGCTGTAATGAGTAGCCATGCAAACTGGGTGGGGACAGGAGGCACTGACTTATGTAGCCTCATAAGATGAAGATAGGTTTTAGTTATACTTTTAAACACTGGACAAGAATTTTAAGCTGCTCAAAAATGACTCATTTGGGCTTTGTTTTTCTCATCCATAAGTTGGAAAAAATAAAATTTACATGGTTCTGCATGGTTATTAGAAGATTTGAATTTAAAAAGGTATCTGAGGGGTTGGGGTAGGGTTCTAATTGTCTAACATGCCTGAGGCCCTGGGTTCAATCCCCAGCACCCCCTCAAAAAAAGGTATCAGGAAAAGTACTGAGGAATTCTAAAGATAAGAATTGGGAGAGAAAGAAACTGAAAAAAAAAAGTCTTTATTTCCAGGGAAGGGGCCAATGTGCAGTTCTCTAATCACAGTCTACGGAAGTGGAGACTATCAAGGATCTGAAAGCTAAAATGTTAAAACCCCTACCAAATGCCATCCAAATGCTGAATCTGACCCAGGTGTCTGCATTCAACTGGACCATGAGATAAATGTTCACCAGGATGCTGAATGCTGGCAAAAATGGTAAGAATGGCACCTAAGGAGAAAAAAATCTTTTTGAATGTACTCATACTTTAAAAAGACACTACTCAAATTATTTCAAGATGGTGATATTCATTTGACATACATACTTTCAGATTGTACCAGTAAGGTTGTATTCTAACAAAAAGACATCCTGAATAAAAACCTAGAGATTACTACAAGGAGAATGATATTTTAGATTATTTTTATCAAACTGAGTAACACCTACAACATCATCAGGGTACAAGGACATTTGGGGTTCACTTTAGGGTTTACTTGTATAATTCAGATACCAACAGGTCATCCCCTGGAACTCTGGACAACAACAGCCTGGGAGGTATTTCTAGGAGGCCCTCTTACACCCCAGCCTGCTCCTAGTTCTAATGGCACAGGGTTACAAAAACATGCAGAGGAAGGGCTTTTGGTGGAAACAAATCCTCATGAGAAGGTTCTAAATTTCTAAAAATAAAACATTCAAAGTACTTTTCTGATGTTTTACATTAAAGAAAATATTATTTACTATATGGTTTTTGAGAAAGGGAGTTTTTGAGCCAGCCAATAAGGAAAAAACACTGAGACATCAAAAATTTTGAAATTCTTGCTCATTGATTACTTGTGTTAAGCTTTTTTTTCTTCTCTTTCTTTTCTTTTCTTTTTTGTACTGGGGATCAAAATCACACTCCTGCATTTGCCAAGCAGATACTTCTGCTGCTGAACTAAATCCCTGGCCTCCGGTACCAGGAATTGAACTCAGGACCTCATGCTTGCCAAGCAGGTGCTGTGTTGCTGAGCTAAATCCCCAGTGCTTTTTTTGGCAACAGCTCACACACAGAAGTGTACGTCATGTTTAGGATCTCTAACCCTCACGATACACACCATAAAGGCTACTTTCTGCTGATTCTGTGGCTGCCTCCAAATGGTGAGAACAACAGCAATGGAGAAAACAAGGAACAGCACAAGAAGGGCGACGCTCCAGCCTTCCAGCCTCGAGATCGCTTGCACTCCGTAAGTGGTCAGAATACTCAGGCCCAGCACAAGAAACGCTGCAAAGTGATAAGCGTGCAAAGCAGAGTCAGCATGAAGCTTCACTTAGATTCTCCGTTCCTGGAGTCTATTCTGATTCAGCAAGTGCTTTACCTATCTACTTTGGCAAAAACAGAGTCTTCCTTTGGTCTTGTCTTACTTTCACTGTGAGAAGAAGCAGTCAGTTTCACAAGAAGCATTGCTCACTTCATTAATGTCTCAGAACTACTCTCCACACTGGGAGCTACCATCTTGCTTTCTCGGCCCATGCACCTCTGGTCCTCATTTGCTACTCTCAGGCTATATCACAGGTACTGGTGGGATGTGTTGGGGGTACATATCTTCATTTTTAAAATGAGAGACAGTAAATAGTTTCAAACTGTTATAAAGACGGACTGCTAATGCAGACAAGTTTTAGTATGTGAGTGACATCTTTTGCATGTTTCAGACAATGACAGCATCCCAAGTCTGCATCATCAAGTCTGAATTACAGGGAAACTAGCTTGTAACCAATATATTGTACCACAAAGCCTTGTGACAGCAAGCACCATACCTCTCAATGTCCTGTATTTCCAGCAGAAAGCCTGGTATCTATAGATAAGGCTAAGTAAATGTCACTGGAAATATGGATAATTGAGTAACTGTGAATGAGCCAACAAGATTTTCTATGTCCCTTCCTTGTCCCATTGGGCTCATTCCACTGCCGGCAGGTGTGCCTGGCTTATGCTCTCACACGTGGAGCACCCTAATAGCTAATGAAACATCCCAGTTATGCCCGTGTTACCTTAGAGAATTTCTTTCTTTCTTCTTCAATCATTAAGTTATGTTAAACATACCTTAACAGTATAAACATGAACTCACATACTAATGACTCTGTGGATGGAGGTTACAGGACTCAGGCTCATAGCTAACATATTCTAGGGCATCGTGGGGCCTTTGGTCCTCTTTCTTACATATATCTGCTGGGTCTTTACCACGCACGGACTGAAGATGACTTACCCAGGAATCCCACCAGAAAGCTCACAAGAGATGCTGATTGTCTTGTAGGCAGAGCAGAGGGGCTGAAGAGGGTTCGCAGGCTGAAGCCATGTCCTTGCAGCATGGTGATCTGGGACTCGCTTTTTGAGGTCACACTGGTACATGATTCCAGACCTTCTTTTTCAGGGGAATATTTGGGCTGCTCATAACATAGACCAGGCTGGTACCTATTCCCAAATAAATACCTGTGTCTTTATTCTCGGATATTTGGCCCAAATGAATCTATCACTAAGACACTGGCTGCGACCCCACAAAGTCCCAATGTGGGTGGTAAAGTGATACTTTTCATGACTCCAGCCCCATACCATGCTCACAGACTTTTTCAGTGAAGTATCTGCAACAACTATGAATTTCCTCAGATGGCCACTTAATTAGAAAGTGATACAGTAGATAAAAAAAAAGTTAAATTTTAAGATGAGGCAATGTGACAATCAAATGATCATTTCTGAAATCATCTAAGTCCAAAGGAAACACAGGACCTAAAAACAGTATGGAAACTCCAGTTAAATACGAAATATAGAATACTATAGTCTCCTAGGGGTTGGTACTCAAAGCCTCATCATACTGTGTGATGGTTAGTCTAGACAATCAGCTTGAGTAAATTCAGAAACACCTATGAAATAAGTAAAATGTATTCTTAGGTACGTCTGTGAGGATGACAGGCATGTGGACAGCAAATTAAGCAGGGAGACACGGCGCAGTGTGAGGCAGTACCACCCAGCAGGCCGTGGAGGGCCAGATGGAAAAAGAGGAGGAGGAACCTTGCCAGTGTAGACACACACAGTGTAGACTACCATGAAGTGAGTGGCCTTCCTCTGCTATGAGGATTCTACCTTGCCACAGGCCTAGAAGCCACGGCGTCAGCTGCCATGGACTGAAACCTCTGAAGCCATGAAGCAAAACAAACCTTTCCTTAAGTTGTTACAGCACTAGAAACTTTGTTGTAGCAACAGAAAGCTAACACACAGTCTCTCTATCCTTAACTCTCAACTTTCCAACCTGGCTCCTCTACTTTAATCAAAACAGGCCTGTCTAACCATTCAGCCACCTGTCATCCTTTGTACATAATTTTACTTTATGAGTTTACTCTTTTTCTCTACATCTTGTGTCAAGATATCACCTACTTCATCACCTCATATCTGTCTCAGTCTTCCCAGCATAGGCTCCTCGCCTTCTGAGCACCCTTTGCTTATTTTAGAAAGTAACAATTTTTTCTCCATATAAAAATATGCTTACTGCAGAAAAACACACAAAATTTGCAGAAGTAAATTAAAACTACCCATAACATCCCTAACTAATCACTATTTGCATCTTGGTATAATTTCATCTCGGTATATATGTATATACATATACATACTGCTTCTCAATATAAATTTGTTATTAAATTCAGATGTTATATATATCTTTGTATTCTGAAACAGAAATATTTATCCATATAATTAAATATCATTTTATTTTCTGTAGAAAAACCTATTAACTATTCTGTTATTCACATGAGTCGCATTTTTTTCGCTTGTAAATTTACCTTTCCCATGAACATCTTTTTGCCTCTTTGATTAAATCTTCAGTATAAAACCCCAGAATACAGGGATGAATAAGTTATTTGCTTTTGTTTTTTGCGGTACTGGACGTGGAATCCAGGACCTTTTACTAAACTGCATCACTGACACTTTGAAAAATTATTTTTTAAGTTGCTGAAGCTGGGCTTGAAACTCACCATCCAATTGTCTTTACGCCCTGTGTGCCACCTGGAACCCCCTTCAGAATTACTGGCAACTCACCTGAGGATGAGCACACAGGCTGCCACCAGAGAATAGGCCATCAGTGTGCCAATGGACATCATGTCTACCAGGGCTTTCAGGTCAAAGAGAAATGCCATCACAGCTATTAAGAAAAGAAAGTAAAGAAAGGTAAAATCACAGCCTCCTGATGAAATTCCACACAGTGCAATCACTTTTTAAGTCAGAGACAATTAGCTGGCACATGTTTTGTTTCAGCACTAATGGTGAGTCAAATAAAGCATAACAAGTCTCTCAACTCATACTTTAGGACACATAAACTGCTAATAAGACTTGAGAGAATCATGAGCTCTCTTGCAAATAAAGACACATCAGAAGAAAAATATTGCTAGGAAATACTGACTAGCTTGTTTTTCAAATCAAAAAAATTTCAAACAGTTTCATTACAGAAGTGAAAAATCATTTCAATTTTCAGTTGTATTAAAAGTTGTAACATAAAATCAAAAAAATTTTAAAATACTTTTGATAAAATGAAATAATGATTTGCAATTAAATTTCTGATATAATTTTACTTATTAAATTAAATTTTACTCCTATATCTTATTAAATTTTACTCTTACTAAATTAAAGCTACACCCTCTAAGTAGATGTAAGAGAAAATTTGTGATCCTGAACACCAAATGCCAATAAAGTTAGGAGGTAAACTATAATATCAACTTGGATTTTTAATTTACCACACAGCAGTCCCTATCTTAATGGGTAGGTAACACTATGCTCAGTTGATGTGGTCTTCCAGACCTCTATGCAACGTTTATAAGTCTGATCTCATCTTCAGGTCAGTGATCCTTTGAGGTGGGAAATTTCATTTTGGCTGTGTAAAATGATGCATATTTGACTATTTTTGACCAAAACCCTGACAGTTTCCCACGGTTTGGACTAATGAGAACATCCTCATCTTATGGGAAGGTTAATTTAGAAGGCTACAATCACTTGATGGAGGCAGAGTTCTACCTAAACCAGCATTTCTATGTGTACCCCTTTCACAGTACCAGATCTTTTCTTTATTCATTTGTTGCAGTGCCGGAGATTGAATTCATGGCCTCACACATGCTGGACATTTTTTAAATACACAACATGTAGTACCTTTCATTGCTAGTATACATATTAGATTACTAAAATTTTAGTATGTCTTTTAAGGATCACCTCAAGTGAGGTAGCCAAAAAAGGAAAAAAAATGATTATTATTTGTCCATTTGGGCTCTCTGGTTCAAATTAAAAACAAAGTAATAAGGTACAGGAGTACACAGCAACAAAAATATAGTGTTTTAGAACATTAAAAATTATTCTGTTATAACCATCTACTTTTAATTATTAATGTCAGTATTTTATTCTGCTAAATTTCATTCTTCCTGAAGAAGAGGATAAATTATTTTTAAAATTCTGAAAACAAAATAGTTATTACTGGGCTAGATTTTTACTGCAAAGAGTAACGAGTTTTAAGTATTAAGTAAGATGTGTAATTCTTGTCAAGAAATATTTATGAACTATCTTTAATGTAATACACTGTTTTAATCATAAAATGGGCTGTGGATCATTTAGCAGAATCTTCATTTTATGGGGACAGAAATATAAGCCTGACAAAATACATGACCTGACCTTTCAAAAACAGTACATGTTATCAAATGTCAGTGCTATTAAAAATGTTTGCTACTAAAATAAAGCTAGTTAGGTAGGTAAACATTTTCTAATCCTGAAAGACAATCCACTTCATATATAAGACATTAATTAGCCTTCTCTAATTTCCTAACACTGCAGAGCCTTAATAAAATGATCATTTTGATTTAAATTTCTAATATCAAGACTATAACATTTATATAATTATAAAGCTTGCTAAAATTTATTCTTGCTTCCTATAACAGCACCTTTAAGGCTGTTCTTTTAGTCTACAGTCTTTGAAAATTTCTCCATGCTGTGACAATCTGGCCAAAGGCATTTTGCATGAATATCAAGACATGTCAAAATGTAGGCAGTCTGAATTTTGTGAATGTAACTTGCATATCCAAACCATCTAAAGGACTACTAGATTCCCAGTGGGGCTGGAGAGGAGCAGGACGCCCAGGAACCATGGGTGCCCACCCTATTAGGAGCACTAAGCACAATGGCCAGTTATTAAGTGTCATTGGCATTTGTCATGCATGATTAAAAAGGAATAAAGTAGTCTTTTTAAACTCTCAGAGATGTTGAACATTTTTTCATGTATTTGCTGGCCATGTGTACTTATTTTGCTGTAAAGTGTGTATCTATTCATTTAATTTGCCTGTTTCTTGAGTCAGTCTTTTATGTGGTCTAACTATTTTGAGTCCTTTATATTTTCTAGATATTAGTCCTCTGAGAAATAGCTGGCAAAACGTTTTCCTCATTCTACAGTTTTTCTCTTCACTCTACTAATTAATTCCTTTGCTATACAGGATTTTAAATTTGGTGTAATCCCATTTATTAGTGCTTGCTGTTATTTCTTGTGCAATTGTGGTTCTGTTTAGAAAATCCTTTCTTATATCTATGACTTCTAGTGTTTTACTCACTCCCCAAGATGAGTATAAACTGCATGTACTTTAAATATGTACTAATAAAAAATCCCAGAGTCATTAAGTTCATATTACCAAAACTAAGTAATTAATTATTCAATTAAAATTTTCTGAATCAAAAGTAGAATTGTATGTGCTTTTTCATTTAAAAATAGTGAAAAATCTTTAGAATCTTTTGCACATTTGTTAGAAGCCCAAATCACAACAATGAAATAATAAACACCCCAAAGGATCATCAGTTAATTATGAATTTCAATACAGCAGCACCACCACCACAATTTTTGCATGTTAATTTCAATGCTCATCCACTAATTTACCCAGAATTTTGTTTTTAACTTACATGCACAGCATGCAGATCTTCTGTGTAAATCCACGCATGCGCACGAAATGTTCCCGTTCAATGTTTGCAAAGCTTACCAGAAAAGACCCCTGCAGTCAACGTGGCAGCAACTGGTGACTGCCTCTTACTCACTCTGGCAAGAAATCTAAACAGTAAACCATCCCGGGCCATGGCAAACAGAATGCGGGGTAAAGGAAACATAGAGCCCAAAAGACTAGAATAGAAAAATCCACAATCCACATGTGAGTTATATAAAGTACTATTCTAAACAGGTAAATATATAGGTACAGATTAAACCCACTAAAATACACAGCCAAAAAATTCAACATGGAAACAGGCACGAAAATTTAACAACAATCAAAACAGAAAACCACCTAACTTTCTATTTTTTTCAGAGGCCTTGAAGAAAAAGATTCCTTTTTCTTAAGAAAAGTCAACTCTCTCACCTGCCACTGCACCCGATGATAAAGTAGCAATTATTGGTGTCTTCGTTTTGGAATTGATTTGAGCTAGGCATTTGAAAAGCAACCCATCCTCCGCCATAGCATAGATTACACGAGGCATTGGGAAAATGGATCCAAGAAGACTGAATAAAAAGCAAAGACATGCAGTATGGCAAACACGTTCATGCATGATTACAAACCAGACTGAAATTAAGTGACTACATAAAAAGGAGCACGACAGTGTGATTATGAAGTCATTACTTTTTAAATGCACTATAATTGGGCATTTAAAAATATTAGCCAATCCTGACCATCATGCTACTCATTATTCTGTTGCAGATCTTTGCTCAACCAAATTATCAGTCTAAAAACATTGTAACTCATTTGTATGCACCAGTGATTATTATTGAATTAAAATAAATTAGACTTTTCAAAAAACCCGACCAATATCATCATGACATTTTTAGTGGCAATAATCCAGAAAAATAAAATTTCTAAATTAAAATGCAATCAAAGAAGAGATTAATTTTACCTCATAGTAGGTTACCTCTTTTATTCAATAATTATGTATTTATATGACAATTTAAAATCACATAGCTTGATCTTTGATCAAATTAGTAATTTTCAACATAATAAAATAATCAAAGAGGAGAAAGATTAAAAAAACTTACCATAAATTGAATACACAGAAGTAGCCAAAATTAAATGTTAGTAACAGCAAAGTTTAGTAAGATAATTTTTGCTTAAGGTGTTTTTGAATTACTTTTAATCAGTAATTAGAATTACTGAATTGGTTGCACCATGCCATAACTTAGTTGTAAAAAATTACATACAAGCAAAACAAGTAAAACATTTTATTTTTAAAAGTTTATTCTTGGGATCTGAAACCTTGGTGGGATCCCTGGCTCCCCACTGTAGGTCCAGATAAGGTCACTGCTGGCCTCAGTTCTGGCAGCAGCAGCTGCCCACAGGGAGGTCCATACCCAGCAGGAAATCTGATTTTAAAAACTCCAATTTCATCTTTCCATAAGGGTGAGTGAAGCTTGGCCACAGATGAATCTCCATCCATCACTTCTAAGACCACGATGGCACAGGTCTGCACAGTTAAGACATTTCTGTTTTGTGGTACTGGGGCCTGAGCCTAGCCCTAGCAATGAGCTAGCAGGCAAGCTTCCTAGCACAGAACTATACTGCATCCCTCCCCACCCTTGAGACAAGGTCTCACTAACTTGCCTGGGCTGGTCCTGAACTACCAATTCTGCTGCCAAAGCCTCCTGCCCAGCTGAGGTGACAGGCATGTGCCAGGGAACCTGGCTTATGGGGATAATTCCTAATTGACAATCTTATTTTCCCTAGAAAATATAAGAAATTTTGGAGAAAAAAATTCAGCTAGGTTGATGAATTATATAGTACAAGGACACATGTCTATTTTAAAATGATAGGCCATATAGCTTCTACTCAGACTGTTACTGTTTTTTTTTTTTTTTTTTTTTTTTTTTGAAACAGAGTTTTGTTATATAGTTCAGGATGGCCTTGAACTTGTGGCAAACCTCCCAGCTCAGCCTCCGGAGTGCTGGGATTACAGGCATGTGCTGCATGCCTGCTGACAGACTATTATGAGGCCTGAAGAAAATGTCAAGATTGCAGCAGTTTCAGATTGTCTGAAGCACTCCAAGGTACACCAAAGCCAGAAGAGACATACTAGAGCAAGCATCCTAAAGTTTTACAATAAACAGACATAAATATGTGTGACCTGTTCTCGTATGCGTATCAATGCTATCTATACTTATATGGAAGCTTGCAACACCAGTATCTTGAAAAATTCCCTTTTAACTGATGGGGGAGAGTTAATTTTTTTTAAAATCACTTAAGACTTTCAATGATAATTCTGGGCAAACTATTCAGTGAATACATAGCTGCATAATATGTTCCTCATGGTAAGATATTTTTAGAACCACACAAAAGCAGTTTTTAGACGCTGACTATACTTTGCAGGAACCCAAACAGTGCCTGTTCTGAAGACAATGGAATGTACCTTGTGGAGAGTGCACAGAGGGATCCGGCTGCAACCACGTATTTGGCAGGACCCCATCCAACATACTCAAACGCTACCGGAAGGGGACTTTTTTCATCAAGGAGGTAGTACGGCATCATAAGCGTCAAAGCTGCAGAAACCCCAAAATAGGCCATAAAACAAACAAGCAAAGAAGTCACTATTCCAATAGGAATAGCTTTCTGGGGATTCCGGACTTCTTCACCTAAGGAAATACAAACAAAGAAGGTGTGTGCTTAATAGCCGTTTTTAGGCAAAACAACTTACTGTGGCTCAAACTCTTTCTCTCATGCTTTTTTTCCTTCTGTTTTCTTAATGTGATTCACTTATTTCTATTACATAAAAATCCAATTCCCAGAAGGGGAAGAGAAATCATACAAGTAATATCCCCATTTCTGGGAGGGAAAAATGATGTATCAGCACTGTTAAGCAGTTAGGGACAGCAGACTCAATTCAGGTGGAAAAAGACACACCCACGTCGACTAAACGACTGCGGCGACATTTTTGACTTTCTACAATTGAACGCTTTAAAGAAACTTCTTTCATCCATGTGAAACTGGATTCTCTGTGGCCTTTTCCTAAGATTTGACATTCGAAGTACCCCAAACGTGATGAGTGAGGAGGCCAGGCAATGGCAGGAAGCTAGAAGGTGCACGTGGGGGATTCAATGGTGAGGACTTTGTTGTAACAGGACAGCATGCTTTGTCCGCCAAGGAAAAGATGGTTTAAGAACATAGTCGTTTGGGAGTGACAGCACATCCCCAGTTTAAGGACAATAATCACAAATTATATATGTAACATATTTCACAGTTTGCAAAGTATTTGTTGGATGTGTACTTTGGCGACCTTTGTGCTGCTCTCCCAGTTCTACCAATGCAGAAACCAAGGCTTAGAGAGTTTACCCAAGTGTCTTATTTTTTAAAAATCATATATAGCAGATGTCACAGAGAGCTGGAACTAGCACGCTCTTTGTCCCCAAACGAGCTGTCTTTCCTTGAGCCTCTGCTTCACACACAGCGACTCCTGCGGTCCAGAGAACGCCTTGCTTTCTGCCTGCATCCTCCGCTCTTACCACTGCTCTTACCAGTTGTTGCAATGCAGTCAAATCCCACAAAGGCATAGAAACAAGTAGCAGCACCAGCCAAGGTTCCTGCAAAGCCATAAGGCATAAAGCCACCAGCCCCATAGATACTCGTTGCATTTTCAAAAGGTGATTCTCTAAAAGACAGAGAACAAACACATTGCAAAGTCATTTTCACAGGAACATGTTCCTTCTAGGAATCTGTCTCAAATTATATGTTCTCCTACTCTTTGAACCTGATATGGGTAAAATACACACATCATGATTTCAACCTGTTTTAGAGAATGTGGTAGAACCCTCACAATCACTCTCTTATGTCACTGTCTTATTTTTCTCTCATTGCTGAGGCAAAATACCTGGCACCCAAAGTTAAAGGGAGAAAGGTTTATTTGGTTCACAGTTTGTACAGGTTTCAGTCCATAACTGGCTGGCATGGCAGATGGGCATCCCAGAGGGGAAACAGTCCACAGAGGGTAGAAGGTAGCAAAGCCAGCAAGCAAACGACCTTAGCAGCTTTTTATGCCTCTTTTATATTCTAGGCACCCCTGACTAGAGTGGTGCAAACCTGTTAGTGGGTTATCTAGTGATCACACACCCTTAACCCTGGCACCTTTAATCCTAGCATTGCACCATGAAGCAGTTACACATTGTAGCTTCAGTCTTCTCTGAAAAAGTCTACCTATGATTGTATGAGGCTTTGGGAAGATGTCTAGATATAAGCCATAACAGCCACAGACGTCCACCTAGAGGCTAGTCCCCCAGCAGCATATGGTCCCTGGCTCACCTTGTCTGCAACACAAAGGTGAATTTTGAGGACAGAGACCCCACACATGAACCATGTGCCATAACGTATGAACTTTCCTTAGTTTTTCTATAAGAATTCATTCTTCAACTCATGAAGCACAAAATAAGGGAGACTACACATCTTTAAAATTCATTAAGAAATGGAGTCACTAAGTGGAAATGTGAAAAAAACTTTGCTAGGCTTGATTAGTAATACTGAAGTTGACTATTATGTGTTAAAAACTGTACAAAATCAGAGGACTCTAATTTTTCTCTTACTAGAATGACTATGAATTACATATATGAAATATAACAAAGCAAGGTGTGGTGGTACACACCTGTAATCTCAGCCACTCAAGAGACTGAGGCAGGAGTTCAAAGATGGCCAGGGCAGCGTAGCAAGAGCTCGTCTTAAAATAAAAAATGCCGGGGTTATAGCTAGTGATGAGGCACTGGTCTGGCATATGCAAGGCCCTTAGTTAAATCCCCAATACCTTAAAAATAAATCAAACAAGCAAACAAAAAGAGAAAGACTTACAGACAGATGTACCTTACTCCATATAATTTATGTTTTTGTAACCTATTTCAACTAATAACACTCCCCAGAAGACAAAAACTGAAATTTACTAAAACCCTGAAAGAATGAAATTGAATGGTGGTCTCAAAGGAAAATCTAAAGGATGCAGATTCAAAAATACTCGTTGTTATTGAGAGGGTAAACTGGGGAACAGGGACAAATGCTTGCGGTAGGTAGGCTCTGTCCTTCCTCTCCTGAAACCCAAAGCAGAGGCTGAGGTTGGAACGAGCACAGGGATGGCTTCTCAGAGGGCTCCACAGTGAGCACATCTACGCCTTCATGTCTGGAGCAGAGAGGAGCAAGAAGCTCGAGAAGTTTGAGAACGGCTGCTCCTGCCAGAGCCTTCACGTGCTCTATCCCGAATTGTGACATTCTTTTTTAAAGGGAAAAACCTCTAAATAGTTTACCTGGCATGGGCTGATGCATTTTTGAGAAACTCTTCGCTGATTTTCCAGTTAGCCACATTTCCTTTCACAAATCCAGCAACCATGACAAAGAGTAGGACTAAGATGTTAACAGCTGTGAAGAATTTATTTACCCAAGCAGACTCCTTTACTCCAAAAGACAGGAGACCTACGGAAAAGGAAAAGGTCTGTTACTTTTTATCTACAGCAAAGACAATGGCATTTTGAAGCAAATACAGCATCCAGAATACTGTTGTATTCTGCATTCATGCATTTAACTCGTATGGATCCATTTCTAGCCTACTAATTAGTTATCTAATCGTGAAACGATGTCTTCTAAACATAACCCATTGGCTTTCTAGAGGCAGAATGAGCTAACAGGAGATTTCACACTAAGAATATGTCAGTCTAGTAACTGGCTATTACCAACGGCAGGTAAATATACAGTGATATTTAATGTAAATAGGATGCTTTACTAAAAAGCTACTTTCAGGTTAAAGATTACAAAATATTCTTCAAAGCTTAATAATATGTCTGGTACGTATTTACTGAGCACAAGAAGAGAAAATAGTTCAACTGTTATGCCAAAAGTTCTCTGTTAAATCTCTTCCTATTTCAGTGACTTTATTTATACCCTGATTGTAAAAATAATGAAGTTGAAGACATAGAAGTATCAAGAGAACAAACATCAAGCGTGGTCCTCTGACTAGAGTGCTACACACTGAAGAGCATACCCACACATTTCCACATCAACAAACATAATTTCACCTTTAAAAATAAAAAACCAAACAAAAAACAAAATAGGGTCTTACCATTTTGCCCAGGCTATCCTCAACACAGGATCCTCATTCCTCAGTCTCCCAAGAAGCTGGGATTATAGGCACATGCTATTGTGCCCAACTATAATGTCATTTTTGACAGCTGCATGGTCTACTATACGGAGATATCATACTTTAATCCTTTATTTATAGACGATTAGATCACTCTTAGGTTTTTATTTTTTAATTATAAATGGCACTGACATCACCAACCTTTTATAAACTTCTCTCTACACTAATTCTTCTTGCAATAGTTTTCTATAAGTTAATCATGTATCAAAGGAAATGTACTTTTGTACAAGGCTTTTGACTTATACTGTCAAAATATAAAGAATCTGGTCCCAATTTACATTGCCCATTTTTTTAAAATCTGGGTATTCTGGTCATATTTATTTATAAGATTTATTTATATATTAATGCTATAAGCATTACAGTGTACACTTGTCCTATTTAACATTTGCTTTTTAAAGTAACTTTATTTTTCTGTGGTATTAGGGACAGAACCCAGGCCCTTGGCGTGCTAGGAAAGTGCTGAGTTATATTCTTTGTCCTATTATGTGCTTACTGTTCATTACATAGAGAGAAAAGTTATTGGAGCCATCCACACATTTTTCCTTTTTAGTTTCTTTTTTCTTCCTGAGATGGATGTAGTCCAGATTGGCCTTAATTTCACTGTGTAGCCCAGGCTGGTCTTGAACTCATGGGGATCCTCTTGTCTCAACCTCCTGAGTGCTGGGATTATAAGCATGTCCCACACACCCAGCCATATCTCCTTTTTAGTTTCTACTTTTGGTAAGATCTCCCTTAACATTAATACTTACAATTATTATACACATCATATCAGTGTCTTTAATCCATCTAGCATAAAATATAAATTATAGACCTAACACAGTTGATGTTTTGCTGCTGGAGCAATGATTGATATGAAAGGATTATGCCACAGATTTACTGGCTTCTTCCTCATATCCATACTACCCAACATCACATAGCCAGAATTCTCCAAGCAGAGATGAGAAACATTGAATTTAATTCTTATAATTGTGTAATTCCCAGAATCACATAATAAAAACTATATTGATATGACATAAAGCTGTAGGCTTAGTACAATTACAGATAATTGTTAGGTCAAAAACCACAGCTATAGTCATCAGAGAAGCACAAAGCCACATCACATTTCACATTTTGTATTAGTTCCTCAACATCCATATGGAGATCTGGATGTACCTACTCTCCAGCCTCATCTCCCACTGCTACATAGTTTAGAGACCATAAATATCTCAACTGTGTGCTGCATATTATTCCCTGTCTCCTTAATGAAATAAAATTACATTTAATAGTTTCAGTTGACAAGAATTTGGTATTACAATGTAGTTAAGATTTATAATGGGGTTTTGATCCTCAAAGATTCTAGTAACGATGCTAATGTAGGTTTAGACTGCATTTCAAGGAAATAGACGGTGAATGAACAGGGTAATATCTTAGCTTCAGTCCTGCCATGCAATTAACAGTTCTAACTACATGTGTCAATTATGTATTTCTTAGCCTTGAGGACATACAGATAAATATTTTATTTATTCTGTCACACTTAAATAAAACATGCTATAAATAACTTACTGAGCCAGAGCTGGTGGCGCATACCTGTAACCCCAGCAGTAGGAAGCTGAGGCAGGATGACCATTGCAAGTTCGAGACCAGCCTGGGCTACAAAGTGAGCTCAAGGCCAGTCTGAACTGCATAGCAAGACCCTGTCTCAAAAAAAAACAAAATGATAAATAAATAAATAAATAAATAAATAAGTAACTTAATGGTAGCTAGATTGTTTAGAAACCAAAATAAGCAAAAATTTGATAAAAAACAATGGATGTAATTTTTCTTGATATAAAAAGCAAAATGTAAAATATTTTAGACCTAATAAGTTTTACATTCCTGTCCCTATTCTTATATAGTCTTTTTAATGAAACTTTTTAAAGAAAAATATTTTTAAAGCTGTAATTTACATATTGCTAAATTTCTGTTGGATCACTGAGCACAGTCAATGTTGGGGTGTCTAGCCATTTTTCGTGCTTTGAATTAGTGACTTGGCAACTATTTTTAGGATAACAATGTATAATATATCAACTAGCAATTTTATGATGTTAATTTTTTAAAATTCTGTATTGCTCTACCTTTTTTCTGTTTTTCCATTTTTAAAATTTTTCTTTCTTTGAAAAAAGATAACTATGAAATATAACAACCATTGTTAAATTTCTTTCATTCTGTTTTGAAAACCTATATTGTTATTGGTTTGGGTTTATTGTTGCTGTTTAACTCTTTTGCTTTTTTTCTTTTTAAAATAAAATTTTAAAAACTGTGATTTATAGGTAAACATTTCACTAAAGAATGACATTCTTGTCACACACTTCTCGCCCAGGGAGGAAATAAATAAGGCCATCCAGATAGGAAGACCAGGGACAGATTACTCAGGATAAATCAAGTAAGAAATGGGAGGAAATACAGATTTTACGCTTAGTGGTATCCTCAATGGGTTTTTAAACAGGACTGCAGACCAGAATATCTCAACAGGAGTTCAAGTAATTAAAACAAATATAGGGGACAGTAGGGACTAGTCATGTTTAGAAGATAAAAACTGTCACGGGGTGATGATTGCCTACCAAGTAAAACAATGGACTCATTTTAAGGATGAGTGAACTGAGTGATGGAGACTAAGTAAATTTAAGTTTCAAGTGTAATTAAATAGCAGAGAAAGACTGAGAATCTGCTTGCTCCTACTCTGATTCCTGTTCTTTCTAATCTCTGTGCCACAGTACTGATAACCATGGGATAATTCCAGTACCACGTATGTGTGTCTACACAATATCTGCATTAACAAATGACAGACCATCTTTTTGTTTCCTTTGCCTTTGTTATACAGATGAAATCATGGTGACAAAACTCAGAATGTCTTCTAGAAATAGTGTACTTATAAATATATTTAGTTTCATTTTAATCTGATGAAATCATGGCATGAAATTAAATGTTCCTCCTTATTGAATCTTCAGTCATTCCTGCAAACCTCCAATCAGTGTAAAACTGACGTCACCATCTTATTATTTAGTTCATGCCAAGTATCTTTGACTCAGAAGTGCTATTGCCACCACTTCATACAATTTAGACTTATTTTTGAAACACATTTATCTTGTAAGGTAAAATGTGATTCTAGCCAGTGATGAAGCCCAAAGACATCCAACAATAACTTAGGTGTAGGAATTTGTAGACGTAGTCTGGAGAACTCACATTCCAAATTTAGTAGTAACCTACTTTTCTAGATAATTAATTTAGCCTATTACAGGGAAAGATTTACAGTAATAGTTTTCTTACCTGCCAGAAGTAATATAAGGCACACAGCAAAAAAGTCTGGATACTCTGCAAGGCCAGTATAATTCATTTTGAAATATGTCTTGAAAAACTGACCAATCTGTTTGTTAAGTAATTCATCGAAGGTACCACTCCATGCTCTTGCCACACTTGATGTACCTTCCAAAATACAGAACATGCATGAAATATAAAGTCACTGGCAGAAAATTAACATCACTTTCTGCTCCATTCCAGATTACCATGACCTAGTTCACATTCAATAAAATTTGTAATCACATTATAAAATTATATGCTATTCCTGTAATCATTTGCAAGTTTGAAACAGCCTGGGCTACAAAGTAAGCCTAAGCACAGCCTGAACTGTGTAGAGACCCTCTCAAAAAATGACCAAAAAACCCTTATATGTGCTAATTTTATAATATTGTAATAGTAATCAAATGCCCAAGTTTGTAAGTACAGAATCAGGTAGTGATTTCATTAGCAATAAAGAAATTCTTATTTAAAAAACAGGAATTTCAGCTCCCTTTAAGAGACATATTCAGAGATGAAGCAGAAACCCAGAATTTATTTGCAATTAGAAAAAGTCATTTTAGAGAAAAATGAGACATACAGGAACTAGGCAATTCATTCATATGCATCCAGCAACTAAGGAATGCAGGCTACAACTGAACACCAGGGCCTGTTCCTTAGGAGTGCCTTTTCTACACAACTGAGATTTGTTTTTGAAACGTACCTATGACATAAGATAAAATGAGGTTCCAGCCAGTGATGAAGGCCCACAGCTCACCAACAGTAACATAGGTGTACAAATAGGCAGACCCAGTCTTGGGGACTCGGGCTCCAAACTCAGCATAGCAAAGGCCTGCCATCACGGACGCCAAGGCAGCGATTAGGAAGGACACGACGATGCTGGGGCCAGAATCCGCTTTGGCAACTTCCCCGGCAAGGACATAAACCCCAGCACCCAGAGTGCTTCCAACGCCCAGCGCAATGAGGTCCATGGTGGTCAGGCAGCGGCACAGCTTGGAGTCCTCTAGACTGTCCATGGTGACAATTTTTCTCCGGATCAGACATCGGGCAAAAGTGAGCACTGCTCTGCAGGGAATCATTCTGAAGGAGGTAACCTGAGCGAGAGAAAGGAGGATGTTAGAAGGTGACCTGGAGCTACCATCTCTCTTTTAGCTACTTGTTTGGAGACAAAATTAAGGCAAATGGTACCTTTTTATTTTTTCTTTCTTTCTTTTTTTTTTTTTTAACTTGTAGATAGAAGCACAGCACTAAGCAATCAGAAAAAGGTTTTATGAAGCCAAAGTCACAAATTTCCTGGAGTTTGCTCACATACAAAAACCCAATAATACCCGGCTTATTTGAAAGCCAAGGAACATCCCTGAGTGATTAAAAGTCATTTTTGTGCACTAATTACAGTTTTCAGGGTTTATAGATAGAACTACATTTTAGGAGATGGCTAACTTCACCACGAGGAAGGGAATGAAGCGCCTCATCGTCTGAATTCTCTTTCTTCTCTTTAGTCACTCATTCAGCTCAGATTTTTAGGCCTTACCAAATGCTAGGGATTATGCAAGCAACCATATTACATAGGGATGGTCTCTGGGATCATTATCCTACGGTTTTACCAAATCGGTGAAGTACTCTTTTTATTGTAAATAATTAATATGCAGCAGATATGAACATACTAGATAAAAGAATTTTCTCTTAGCATGCTTAGATTATTTCAACTAAAGCTGCTGTTCAATCATGCTCTAACTAGGAACTGATACTATAATACACATGCGTATATTTATTTGAAATTTTTAAATAAACTCAAAGTTCTGGCCAAGTATATATTCTTTTTTTTTAAATAGAGGGAAGTATAAAGACTGAAAGTTTCTTCACTCCCGACCTGCTAGTGCCCCAAACAATCTAACATTGAAAAGAAAATCAGATTACAAAATGAAACATGAATTGCAGGAAGAAAGAAAAATATATAGTATATAAATCACATAGATATTACAGTAGAAAGACCTAATGTAAAAATATAACAAACTGCTACCAATTATGTATCCAGGGAGAGGTTTACTTTTCACTACTATGCATTTCATATGATACTTTGCTAATCTATATTTCTGATTTAATTTCAATGAATATGTGCAACTTACTTGCAAAAAATATATATACATGAAAATTAAAAAGCTCCTCATGGCAAATCCTATTCTAGCTGAGTAGCATTTAGCTGAGTAGGAAATAACTGAGGAATGGGGAATATAGTGTATGCCACTCATCAGACAATACAACACTAGAAGTTAAAAATCATGTTTGCTGGCAAATAAATATATGAAAAAATGTTCATAATCACTAGTCATTATAGAGAAATGCAAATTAAAACCACTGAGACTTCATCTCACTCCTGAAAGAATGGCCAAGATCAAGAAAACCACCCACAACAAATGCTGGAGAGGCTGTGGGGAAAAAGGAACTCTCCTGCACTGTTGGTGGGAGTGTAGACTGGTGCAACCACTGTGGAGGTCAGTCTGGAGACTTCTCAGAAAGCTGGGATTGGATGCCCCATCTGGCCCAGCTATACCACTTCTAGGCATATTCCTAGAAGAACTGAAAGCATCATACCACAGTGATATGTGTGCACCCATGTTTATAGCAGCGCAATTTGTAATAGCCAGATCTTGGAAACAACCCAAGTGTCCATCAACTGAGGAATGGATAAAAAAGTTGTGGTATTTTTATATAATGGAGTACTACTCAGCTATAAAGAATGAACACATTGAGACATTTATAAATAAATGGATGCAGCTTGAACCATACTTATAAGTGAAATAAATCAAACTCACATGTATAAATACTGAATAGTTTCCCCAATGTAAGAAATGATAAGCATACATAAAAGTATGTGATAATCATGATTCCCAATCATATTGGTTTGAAGCCATATAATGTTTTCACTCATTAATTGCAATGGTTTTAACCTGGGTTGTTCAATTTTTAGTATCTGTGATAGTATGAATAGCTATTTTGAAGAAAACAACACAACATAGAAGCTAGTGCTGACTTAATATCATCTTGTTTTGAAGTCCCATCAAGCTTTTGTACATCTGTTTCCACTGGTTTTAACATGTTGTATCTTACTATATTTTACCATATGCGATAGTATAAACAAAATTCTTTGTAGGCAAAGAGATAATATAGAAACCGTTGTTCGTTTTCTATAAGCTGGTTCTAAATACCCTGTAATTCTTTCATTCTCTTGAATGGCTTCACACTGTCTTGATATGTTGATGCTATAGCATATGAGGTTACACTCAAATAATTCAAGGAAAGAGGCACTATGGTGACTACTATTATGTTGATTATCTGGTGGTGAAACACAATGATGCTTAAATTGTTCGGTTCTGACCTGCGTTCTGTTACAATGTCCTCTTTTATCTCAATCTTCCCCCCTTTTTAAATTAATCTATTTTTTCTCATTTTTTTAATTAAGGGAAAACTAAATTAAAAAATAGCGGGACATATTATAGTAAATTTTTTGTTTTCCTATTAACAAAAAAGGATTTGATCCCCAGTATTGCTCTCCCCATCTTGTTCTGTCTGATTATACTATATTCTATTTTGTTTGACAGTATCAAGTTTGAGGATATAGGCAACCACTTTGAAGGCAGTAAGATATACTATGATGCCCCTTATGGTTTGACACTTATCTTCTTTTGAAGTCCTGTAAGGTCTCCAGTATAGATTTTATTGGTCTTGTTCTGTACTGTTTTGATCAATTCTATTATACCTGATAATATGGACAACTCAATTTAAAAATAGCAAAAGACACAATGGTAACCACTTTTGATCACCTGATATTCTATTTTTGCATCATGTACTATGCCCATCCTTCTTTTCTGACTCTGTTTTGCTTAGTCACGTTGGGTTTTATTCTCTTAAAAAAAAAAAGGTAATAAGAACCGTGGGAGTAATAAAACCCCAAAAGTGTAATTGCTATTGTAAAAAAGAGAGGAAAGGAAGGTGGACTAAGGGATATAACCGCAGGTATGTTTGAGCATGTAGGATGGAAAACCATATTACTGAGCTTTTGTTGGATCATTGAACAGAACTGTCTCCAATATCACTGTATGAATGTCCACTTTATATGCTTTAATTTTATAATTTGGACAACTGTTTCTAAGAAGACAATATGTAACCTATTAACTAGTGATTTCTTACTGTATATTTTTTTCTTCAAATTCTGTATTACTTTTTATTGCTTTGTTTTTTATGTCCTTTCTTTTTTCTCTTTAAAAAAAAGTTTGCTTTTATTTCATGTACTGCACTTCAGCACGAGGATCTTTTGTCCTTCAATACTATTTCCTTCAACTTCATGGTATTCATCATCAAAACCTAAGCTCTTTAGATCACAGGTTGGCATCTTCACTTAAGAACTTAGACTTTTAGCCAAGGATTTAGCTCAGCAGCATAAGCACCTGCCTGTCAAGCACAAGGCTGTGAGTCCGATCCCCCATACAGAACAACAAACACAGAAAAGAACTTAGACCTTTATATACCAAACTTAAACTCTTGAGTACTTCTCAACCTTCATTTAAACTAGCATTAACAATTACACTAATAAAAATAAAAATTGAAGAAGATAATAAAACAATCTCTATGCCTTGTGACTCATAAGACAGACATTTCTAAAACGTGAATTAACAAGTTTCATGTTAAACCTAGTTGATAAAACTAACTTACTGAACATTATTTACATATAAGTGAAAGTTCTCAATATTGAAAGCAGCTCATTCAAGGAATATAATGAAAAATCTTAAAATGAAAACAGATGAAAAAGTTCCATGAAGGTAAAAACAAATTTTTACTCATCTTCAATTTTTTTTAGCACACCATCTAACCGAAGGCCAAAGTATGGCACTTAACAAGTACCAATATTTTTGTTGAAAAATTTGCAAATACAGATGACACAGTCAATTTTGCCAATACTGCATTCAGGCTTCCCGAGTGAAAACCTATCAAGGCTTGTATAAACCACACAGGTACCAATGCCTACACTTAGCTGATCTTTTTCTGTATGTGTGATATTAGGGACTGAACAAGGGTTTTCACACTAAGTGAAAACCAATTTTTAATTTATTTCATTTTGAAACAGGTTCTCCCTAAGTTATCCTTGTTGTGTTTCAAGATCCTCTTCCTACATCTTAGAGTAGTTGGGTTACACAAGTGGCCAGTATGCCTGGCTCAGCTAACACTTATATAGCTAGTCTTCATGTAACATAGCTAGAAGATAAGGTAGGGAAGTATTCTGCTTAAAAAGAATCAAAAAGTGAAAAGTGGAAGTTCTATGTAGAGGTCAGCTGAGGGAGGAGGGACAGAATGTATTCATTAAGTGTTACGTTTCTGTAACATGTAAGTGTTTTCATACAAACATCCATGTTCAAAGATCAAGAACTAAGGATGACTGCTATGTGAAAAAGGCTAGGAAATGGACCACTGAATTTTACTGATTCAACGTCATATGAAAATGGGGCCAATATGCCATATTCAACTTTAGGAACATCTGATAGTCAACAATACAAGGTATACTTGTTTGTTATTTAAAATGTGCATGACACAGTACTTCATTTACCTCAACTTTTATGAATAAAAGACAAATTTTACAATTTATGCATATATACAGGCAGAGAATCAGGAGACAGCAAAAGGATTTTGGGTGACCTTTTATATTTTAAGCCATCTTCTGGAATTTTAATTGTGATGATACTTGAAATGTCTAAAGGAAAAACAGCATAAAAACAAAAAATAAAACAAGTCAATTGAGTTACCCAAAATGAATATAAAATTAAATTAAATTAAATCCAGATTATAGAGGAAGCTGAACGGCTTATAGAAAATGCATCACTTCAACCAAGTTACATCAGATTTCTGCTGCTTTTTCCTTATTAAAAATGGAAGTACTTTATGTGCAGGTAATTTTCTGCATTGATCTGAGGAAATAAGACAAACCTGCTCTTTGTCAGGCATCCATTAGCTTTTGACTAACTACAAAATACACATCAGAAACTTCTCAGAATTGACAGGTCATTCAATATCCTTTGCAAACAATCTCAACTACACATAACCT